AGCTGCTGCGGCACGTGAGCGTCCCCCCGTTCGTGCCCAAGGCCGGCGTGCGCATCCACGTGTCCGACCAGGAGCTGCAGAGCGCCAGTGCTGCCCTGGGTATGGACTGGGATGTACTGGGATGTACTGGGAGAGGGGCTGGGAGTGTCCGACCAGGAGCTGCAGAGCGCCAGTGCCGCGCTGGGTATGGACTGGGATATACTGGGATATACTGGGATATACTGGGAGAGGGGCTGGGAGTGTCCGACCAGGAGCTGCAGAGCGCCAGTGCTGCCCTGGGTATGGAAACTGGGATGGACTGGGATGTACTGGGATATACTGGGAGAGGGGCTGGGAGTGTCCGACCAGGAGCTGCAGAGCGCCAGTGCCGCGCTGGGTATGGACTGGGATATACTGGGATGTACTGGGATATACTGGGATGTACTGGGATATACTGGGGGCACTGGGAGTGTCCGACCAGGAGCTGCAGAGCGCCAGCGCTGCTCTGGGTATGGACTGGGATATACTGGGATGTACTGGGATATACTGGGAGAGGGGCTGGGAGTGTCCGACCAGAAGCTGCAGAGCGCCAGTGCTGCCCTGGGTATGGAAACTGGGATGTACTGGGATATACTGGGATGTATTGGGATATACTGGGATATACTGGGAGAGGGGCTGGGAGTGTCCGACCAGGAGCTGCAGAGCGCCAGTGCTGCGCTGGGTATGGACTGGGATGTACTGGGATGTACTGGGGGCACTGGGAGTGTCCGACCAGGAGCTGCAGAGCACCAGTGCTGCCCTGGGTATGGACTGGGATATACTGGGATATACTGGGATGTACTGGGGGGACTGGGAGAGGGGCTGGGAGTGTCCGACCAGGAGCTGCAGAGCGCCAGTGCCGCGCTGGGTATGGAAACTGGGATGGACTGGGATGTACTGGGGGGACTGGGAGTGTCCGACCAGGAGCTGCAGAGCGCCAGTGCCGCGCTGGGTATGGACTGGGATGGACTGGGATGTACTGGGGGGACTGGGAGTGTCCGACCAGGAGCTGCAGAGCGCCAGTGCTGCGCTGGGTATGGACTGGGATGTACTGGGATGTACTGGGATATACTGGGAGAGGGGCTGGGAGTGTCTGACCAGGAGCTGCAGAGCGCCAGTGCCGCGCTGGGTATGGACTGGGATGGACTGGGATATACTGGGATATACTGGGGGGACTGGGAGTGTCCGACCAGGAGCTGCAGAGCGCCAGCGCCGCGCTGGGTATGGACTGGGGGGGGCTGGCAATGCCACTTTGGGTGAGGGGCTCAGGGGGTCCCATGGGGGTCCCATGGGTCCCGTGGGTGCCGTGGGGGTCCCGTGGGTGCCGTGGGGGTCCCATGGGTGCCCCTCCCCACAGACGACGGG